AGTATCTGTGAACTAAGTAACTACATTAAGGACACCAATGTGTAATACTAAAATCATGATTGAAATGCCTGTCATTTTGGTCTTCTTAACGTGTACTGTTTCTAATGTCATATCAATTAGTACTATACTTTCTTTAAAGTAATTTTTTAAAGGTAATAAAAATCACCAGACAAATAGCTCAGCAGATTAAAGCGCCTGCAAGCAGGCACAGGGCCCAGGGGTTTGATCCCCCAGGCTGCCATGTCAGCCCCTCCCCTGGGGCACACTGAGACAGCAATTGAGACTGGGCATGGTGGCGCACACCTGTAATCCCGGCACGTGGGAGACTGTAAATAGGAGAGTCACTATGAGTCTGATCTAGTAGTGAGACCCTGAACACCCTGTAGACCCTTCCCTAAAATACAGAAAAAAATAAAACAGATAATAAAATAAAATGAGATAGAACAAAAATTTATGATTTCTTGAAAACATGTGGTAATATTCAATCATATCTCCCATCTTGCACAACTCTATTTGTTAATCTGAGCAACAGGTTTGATGACAAAAATAAATAGCAGCATCACTGTTGATCAGCTGCCCTTGTTTCGAAAATCTATAGCATATGGGTTGTTGCAAGTTACCCTGTTTCTGTCTTTGCTTTTGTCCTTCTTGCTCTTGTTTTTATTCTTCAAAATAAAAGAAAATTATACTTAAAAAAAACAGCACACTACAGAAAATAAAATAAACTCAGGGGTCATTGAGACAGATCAGAAGTTGCAGAAAGAACTGCAAATATACTCAGCCACCTTATCTTTGACAAAGGGGCCAAATACCTTCACTGGAAGAAAGACAGCCTCCCTGTTAAATGGTACTTGAAAAACTGGCTTTCTATATGCTGATGGTGAAAAATAGACTGTGTCGTTCACCATGTACTAAGCTAAAATCAGCAGGGACTAAAGATCTAAATATTAAGCAGAACCACTAATTGCACTGCAAGAGAGAATAGATAGAGCTTCTATACCACAGGTGTTGGCAAAGACGTTATAAACCAAACTCCAGGCACACAGAAATTATTGCAACAAATCAACAAGTTGAATCTCATCTTATTAAAAACCTTTTGCACAGCAGAAGAAATCATCAACAGAGTAACAGACTGGGAAATAAAACTTTTTCAGCTGTTCCTCAGACAAAGGATGGATAGGTACAATATAGAAATAACTCAACAAAATCAGATCCTCCAAAATTAAAGACCAATCCAAAAATAGGCATCTGAGATGAATGGACACTTCTCAGATGAAGAAGTAGATGCAAAAAATAAATATATGAAAACATGTTTAACATCACTGATTATTTCAGAGATGCAAATTAAAGTATGCTGATATCCTATCTCAATCAAGAAAGAATAAAAATAATTTTTAAAAAAATCAAGCAATAAAAATTTCTGGTGGGTCTGTGGGGGAGAAGGAACCTTGCTCCCCTGTTTATGGAAGTGTGTATACTTGTGCAACCCCAGTGAAAATCAGTATACAGACTAAAACTACAGGTTCCAGTCAACCCAGTTATTCTCCCTCTTGGTATCTTCTTGAAAGAATTAAAAACATCATACCACAGCAATCTATGCACATCATATTTATTTTTTTTATTTTTGGTGGAACTGGGGATTGAACTCAGGCCCTTGCGCTTGCCAGGGAAGCACTTAGTCCACTGAGCCATCTCCCAGGCCCCATGCACACCATATTCATAGCAGCATGGTTTATAAGAAGTAAATCTTGGAAACAGAGTCAACAGACGAATAGATACGGAAGGTGTGGGTTTTTTTTTTTAAAATACTAATGAGAGTACTGCTCAACTATAAAGAAGAAAAAATCTGAGACATTTCTAAGTAAATCGATGCACCGTGAGACCATACTCTTAATATTGCATTATTTATCTGGCATGAGAAAATGAAATTATAAATAAGGACCAAACTGTATACTAGACCTCATCAAATAGGAAGACAATGCTCAAATAAGAAGGTGAACTAGAGAAGGGAGAAGGGAAAAAGAAGCAAGAGAAAAAAATGAATAAAGAAGAAAAAAATTGGAAATGGACCTTTTGTAAATGGACAAGAGAAGAGGGTTTGAAGACAGGGAAGGGAGAAAAACAATTAAATTATATCATGCACACATACAAATTCCCTATGATGAATGTGATCTTTATGTATATCTCCAATGTACAAATAAAATTAATTAATAAAAAGTAAAACAATCAACTATTGTGATGTCAGAAACAAAGCCAAAAGAACTTCAACTAAGGTTACCTTTATTGGAGGTTCAAGCTTTTCTCCCCTAGAGAAAATTTAGAATTTTATTTATGTTATTTAGAATTCAGTGAATATCTTGAGGAAAAGTTAGAATCGAGGTCTCCTATTATGTACGTATGTATGTATATATGTATGTATGTATGTATGTATGTATGTATGTACTCAGAACTAAAACCAGAGGTCACTGAGCTACATCTGCAAGCCTTCTTTTTAGCTTCAGACTGTGTCTAAATTACCAGGATGGCCAGAGACTATGGTCCCTATTCCTCATCTCCAGAGTAGCTGGGATTACAAGCTACTGTGCCACCATACCCTGCTCCTACTTTCCAATTTATTGCCTCCATCCTATATAACTGACCAAAGTTCCTCTGTTACCCACCCACTCAGCAGAGATCTTCCTGAGCCAAGCCTAGATTTTCGCCCTCTAGATACAAAAGAAATTCATAATACTTTCAGACATAATCTCAAACCATTAGGTCACATTTGCAAGGTTTTTGTCTTTCTTCTCCCTTTGGGTCTTATATTTTGGCTGATCTCTTATGCCTTATGTATATTCTCTTGGTGATCAACTCAAGGACCTTAATTGTTCTCTGTGAACATTAGGTTGACAGTAGTTATTTTACTCCACAAGAAAACCTCATGCAAGCTTCAGTTGAATCCAGCACAGGCTTTAATAGCTGGAGATAAAGTATCTAAGCACTGTGGAGATTGAAGCACACTTGCAATTTGAATAAGGGGTACGATTTTCCTTTGGAACTCTAAGATCTTTGATATAAGTAATCACTTTATGGTTTTTACCCATATATCCTTCTGTGTGTCGCCTATCGATCCATCCATCTATCTTGCTTTCACAGCCATGTTATGGTAATAGATTAGATGGGTATTCAATATAAAGGACACTCGTGTCTGCACTCAGGGAAATAATAGGTGGTCGTGACCTTGGTGAGGATGCTGTCCTTGTCTAGCCCCACTGGCTAAAATGAATGAACATTTTATTGTCTCCTCCACTTGTCCTGCTCTTCAAGGTCTATCTTTCCTCGAGTTTTAGCTATTTTATATTGTGTCTCCGATAAACCAGATTATGCTAACTAATTAGTTTTATAATGGAACACTTTTTGCTTGACCTTAGGTTAACTAATGAATGCCACTGTAGTTCTAGCATTTATTGCTTTTACATTACCAATTATTGTATAATGTTCCACCAAAATACCCATTAATTTTTGCAATGTTAAGTGATTTGTGCTTGAAAACTATTAAGAACATTGGAAAAATTATAACCAGCAAAATTATAAAATATTTTAATATCTGCATATTTTTACACAGGCATTTTCTTCCTCAAAAGCAAAAACAGAAAGATGGAAGAAAAAATTTCATGAGTGAATTTTAAAGAAGCAAATGGTGAAACTAATTAAATGTAAAAAGAAAACAAGGAATCTGAATAAAAAGATGAGGCACACAGCAGTCAGAGCTTTCAATGATCATGAAATAGAGTACATAAATAAAGTGGTTTCCTCAACAGAAGGGCAATTTACTTTTTGCTTATTTGGGCTTATCATGAGTTCAGCTGGGAACACGTGGCACCCCACGCTAAGAAAATAATAGAAAGACAGGGAGAGTGGGCAGTTTTATCTTTACCTAGAATGCATTAGATAGTGGCGATGTGGAACTCAGCTAGCAACACTAGTTGAGGTCCTTCCTTCTTCCAAAGCAGGCTGCAGGGTGGTGTGACCACAAAGGATGCTTTGTGTGGTTCTTGCAGGAGTGTGAGAGGTGACTCCTTTTCCTCTGCCTGGGCTTCCTCACACCAATGATCTTAGAGCTGGTAATAATGAACAGGGTTGTGTGTGTGTTTATGCTGTGCATCCTCTCTAGAAAGCTTTCCCACTTCTCTCCCATGGCCTTTGTAACTGAAAGGACTTCTTCTGCCTGTCTAATCACAAAAGTAGAGTTTTACTTTGCTTTCAGGGTAAGCTGGAAAATCAAAGTAGCATTTGACTTATCCAACACTATTTTGTGAAACCATCATTTCCTTTTCCAAAATATGTTCATTACTAGGGCCAGTGAGATAGCTCAGCAGGCTAAGTTCCTGCCTTGGCAAGCTCAGAGACTGGGATTCAATTCCCAGCAGTACATGCATGCCGGCTCTATCCCCAGGCATGCTGAGCCGGACACCCAATCCAGGCATGGTGACACTCATCCATAATCCCACCACTGGGAGGCTGAAAACATGAGGATCACTCCGAGTCTGAGCTGTGTGGTGAGACCTTATACCAAATATATAAATTAAAATACACACACACACACACACACACACACACACACACACACACATTCATTATTCCTCCAAAATACACTGAAACTTTGCCTACTTGCTTTATATCTATATTCTTGACTGTTAAAAGATTTAAATGAGTTAGAAAGTTCAAGTCATTCCAGAGCTTTAATTCCTCCATTTCCTCCTCTGTGCTGGTTGTGTTTTACACTTTGATCGAAAGTTCAGAGCCTGCCCAAGGGTCGTGGCTGTAGAGGAAGTCTGACTGACTGCACATGTGGGAGGGCCACGCATACGTCACCGGAGACACTGTGAGAAAAAGCGCCCTGCGAGACACACTTCTGAAAAGAGTGCTTGGCCCGGGCCCACCTCTACAGAGCTCAGCTCCTAAAAATAGGTGCTCAGTTGCATCCTTGAGACTCACCGCTAAGATAAATTCAGCTGCCCATCTACTAGCTGCACAGACCTGCCCGTGGAGCTGGCCTCCACGCCACCGATTGCTTCAGGGGACTGGGAAACTTGCTGCACAGGAAACAAGGGAGGAAGTCACTCCGTGAAGAACTATAGAGACAGATGACATTACCGCGAACTTGGGGTTGAATCTGTTACGAAAGGTATGTGGATTACTGTCACCCGCACATGAGTGCCTCCGAGGTTGTTAATGTCCTGGTTCATCCATGAAGAGGGTGACTACAGCCAGCACACGAGAGGAAATGGAGGAATGGATGTTCTTTAGTGGCTAGAGCTTGCCACGTAATTTAAAGCTTTTAGCAGTCAAGAGCATAGACATAAAGCAAGCAGGCAAAGTTTCAGTATGTTCTGGAGGAACGATGAGCAAAGTTTTTTTTTTTTTTTTTTTTTTGGAGAAGGAAATGACTGTTTCACAAAATAGTGTTAGATATATCAAATGTTACTTCTCTTTCCTACCTGGCCCTGGAAGCAAAGTAAGGCACTACTTTCATGATTCTGTAGGCAGAGGAAGCTTCTTTCGATTGAACAATAAAGACTTTAGGTCAAATTGTAATTGTTACAAATGAAAATATTCATTTGGATTTTTATAATGACATTCATCATTGCTTTATACTATGGAATTTAAATCTTCCTATATTAAACTCTTTGCAAAAAAAGCATTTATCATACATAATATTGAAGAATAATGAGCCCAATTGAATAGCAGTCATGAGTTAAAATATATAAAAACTGGGAAAAAATAGTTGGCCTATAATGGGCATAAATTGGATGAAATATGAATGGTGTTTCTTGAAGTGTGGTGAGGAAAGGAAGAGTTTGAAATATTTTCAACTGTTACAGCTTGCTGAGAGAAATGTAGGTAAATTATGCGTTTCCAGTTTTAGTTCGATGCTGTAGTTCTCACTCTAGCCATGAGCTCATCTCCTCTGGGGGTTTTCCTGGAGTAAGGATTAAAGAATCAGGTTCTTACATGTTTTGTGGAATTAAGAAAAGCACTGCCAGTTGGATCTGCCAGCCCTAATTATAGTAACTACAGACTTAAACAGAGAAGACCGAGATTGTGCTTTAAAGGTATCATGCCCCGTACACTGTTTCAAATGGATTTTTTCTATCTTCAATTGCCTGGGAACACCTTAATTTGGTCTCGTTGTGCCTTAAGTGTTTAGATGTTAAGGGGCTGAGTGATTTGGGAGAGACATTACAACAGAATTTCCTGTGACACCAACTGAAAGCAAGGACACTTTAAGATTACATAATCCAGGGTTTAAATTTAGCCAGCTGCTACTGAAATGAAAGATATTTTATTTTTACCAGAGCTCTATTTGGTCACTGACAAGCTGTAGATTGTTTGAATTATTTTAAAATTGTATGCACACGGTATAAAAGGACAAGTAAAATATTTACCTCAACTACATTCAGCACCAGGAATTTTAATACGAAAGGGCCCCTGTTTAGAAGTTTAGGAGAGATTGCTAGTGAGCAGCTAAAAGGTGGAGAAAGAGATTAGAACGTCCTGAAGTTTATGCTTAAATATTTCTCTGCTCCTCCATGTACTCTGAATCTTTTCCCCACATAAACCAACAACTAAATTCATTTCTAAAAGTCAGCATTTCAAATATCTGCTATATGGCAAAATGCCAACTGTTTGGCCAGACTGTGTCTGGAGTTTGGACAGAGATTCTGTTTTCTTCTACTTGGGGGCATCTTTAAGGGACAGCTTCTCCCAACCACCCAAAAAATGAGAGTAGACATTCTAAAATGGTCACAGATCAATATGCTCTTTGTGAAAGCCTGAGAGGATGTTTTCTCTCCATGGGACTCTCCTTAGGCACTCTACATTGTTGTTCACTTTCTTCTGTGGCTCCATAATCTCCTTGAACAGAAAATTTGGGACACCACTGATTTACTGGATGTTACAATACAGGGTTTCAAAGTAAATTCTGAGGGCATATGACTGACTTTGTCAGATACAAAAGTTACATTTTTTGTTATATAGGTCTTGCTTTATCTTTGTCTTAATCATGCAATAGAAAAGTATAAACATGAGGTATAAAAAGTAAAGCCATATTAATAAGCTGAGCTGTAAAAAGCTCAAGTCAACAACTTCTGACATTGCCAGTTCTGCAGATAACCCACTATCATTGACTACTGGACTATATTGGATTATTTTGCTGAATTCG